AAACATTTTGTTTTTGGCGGAAGGAAAAAGTTGTCAGTGGAACCACGGTTCCGGAGAATTTGACGTAAACACGTCTATACGGAAAGGAAGTTTATATATTGGCTTTATTCTAAATATTTCCTTTATACCTGCTTTACAATTGAGTAAAGTTTGATTAAGACTTTGCTTATTTAACTTGAATTAGTAAGATGATATAGTTGCGTCATATTGTGATAAATATATATTTGTTTAATCTTGTCAGCCTAATCACAATAAAATTCCTATTAAATATTAAAATATTGCTATAATTAACATTTAAATATTTGAAATATATTAAAATAATGTTCTCTATCGAAATGTTGAATTAGTAAGGCTTAAGATGGGTCTGTGGTAGCTGAATGTAATGTAATGTTTCCTAGGTAACAACAATTCCGAGTAAAAACGACGTTCCCTGGGTACACTTGTTACACTTTTTTTCCGAATGACACTGACCCTAAAATATAGACGTATTTACGTCAAAAATATTTAGTTGCGAAGAATGCCACAAGGGGAGAATACGTGTATACCCAGTAGCATTAGCAATGCCGTGCCGACTGTAATTGGTTTGAGTAACCACGTGACATTTCTTGCCAGAGCCGTGGCTCAGTTCCAGGAGAGTAGAATGAAAACAAATGAAACTCGGTTTAAAATATTTACATGACGGTCGCCAAGGGGGAGACAGATGGAGGTGTTACGATGATACTGTCGGCGGACGAGAGCAAAATACGAAATAGCGTACAGTCTCGGGGTACGTAGTTTTGATATTCCGCCATCCCCCCCCCAAGGGAGATCTTATTTTACGAGCCACCCCAACTATAATCCATCAATTTGAATTCCCATACGGATTTGTGACAGAGGATGCTATTCGGTAATCAACGGGATGGGCGGGACACTGAGGATACGGGCTGCTTGTCTAAAGTTTAGTGATTTGTTAAACGAGTTTGGGGAATTTCGGTTGCCGAATTACGGTACCCCCTTTAGCTACCCTGAGAGCTATATTTTGTCACTGACGACCCTAATTTGAATCCCCACCTGCATTCGCTTTGTACGAGGCCGACACGTGACGTCGCCTGTGTAGCTTCAAAGTTGTGTAACTCGCAGTAATACCAACGTGGGGGAAATTGAATGGCGACGACAGATCTAACAGTAGTTGGCAATTAGGAATTTTATCTCGTACGGAGCTCTCGATCTTAAGAACATATGGAAGGGAAGTTTCGTTTCTACCATATCGTCTTTCTATGCTTATGTTGGCACCACTTTTTCAATATGGCTGCTTGCCTTTACTCCTGGCGACGTTGAACGTTACTTTTGAAGGTAATATTTTATTTTATGGGATCGGGACCGACTATTTTCGTGCATATATTTCCATTTGAGTGAAAACTTAAAAAATGTCTTTAATATACCATATTCATTGTTTCATCTCCATAATTTTACGTTACATTTAAAAAATAATAATTTTAGCGTTTTTTTGCGACGTTTAAAATTTCTTTTGTCTCGATTGTTATAGTTATTTTGACAAAGAAGACATTGTTATACAAAAAAAAAACAAGAATTTCTGGTACTTTCGATACGATTCTGATTCTAAACGGCATTGTTATACTACGTACTTGATTCCAGCAGTCATGTGTTTCCAGCATGGCGTCGTCTCATCAGTGCTGCCACTGTTGGACAAAAATAATTCTGGTTACTTTAATGTCAGGCCTCGTACTACACATGTAGGCTAATAACCTGAAATTAGGTTACAATGGCTTCACGTTGTCGGCCCTGCTACTGTAATCTCTCCGGATTTACGGATGAGCCAATGATTTGTTCGCCTGATGGAAATGCATTACACCAATTTGCGTTCGAAACTATATTTTGCATGGGTGGTGCGGTTCTTTGCTCCTTTATTTTACTTCTCTCTGCTTGTCTCTTTCCTTCTCACGTTTTTAGAAGGCGGTGGATAAGAAGAAAAGTTGCTGAACGAACGTCTTCAGTCTAGTCTGGAGGTAGAGGTCTCTGGTGTGTCGTTATCCTTCCACCGGTCACTTATCCTCATTACGTGGCCCTCCCCTCCCCCAGATACCCCTACCATCATCCTCGAGAGGATTAGCAAAGCGTAAAGGAAGAAAGGAGATGCGAAGAATATATACTCAAATTACCAGTACCTATTTCGAATACTGGTGCAGAATACATGATGCTTCATTTTAACACACGCCGGGACTCTTTAGTACGCAGGGCATAATTTATATTAGCTGTTATGGTTCTTTCAAGTATCATTATAAATGGACACAAAAAGATTACGGGACCATTAGTTGTATGTAGTCATGGTTTCTAAATAATGGGTACTATATTAAATGACGTTGTTTCGGGTTTATGACGCCATATGGGCTCATATGTAGATACCAACTTTTCAACAGACATTTTTGTCTCGTCCTGAAGATGGAAAAAATATGTTTCTTCATGGGTTTATTAATATACCAGATTAAACATCGATTATTTTCTACGAACAGTATCGAATAATTTCTTCGTGATGGAGACGTGTTTTATTTGAAGTGGGGATTGAATTATTAAATATTACGTGAGTGAGCCTCAAATTCAAAATGGGTAATCCTAAGAAACGCAGATTATATACATCAGTGGTGTTCAACCTTTTTTTTGTTCGCGTACCCCCAGATATAATTTCTCTTCAACTTTGTACCCCCAAAGTTGTTGGTGTATAATTCGAGTTATACGTAGTATATAATCTACATCTAAAATAAATTAAATAAATTACATTACTGATTATTCAGTGTTTATCATAAAATAATAT